CAAGTAAATATGTAAGTTTTATTGAAGGGGTACCACAACTGTTTCGGTTTGACGTCAGTCTTGCTTCACCATCGAGAAGATCCATCTTTTTCCTTTGGACTCACAACGAACGCTTGGCAGGCTGCGATATAAGCGGCACCCCGTTCAGGACCCTAAGAGACAATCATATCTAGGAAAATGAAAAACACTTCGAAATCAATCTCCTTGTCACTGGTGGGCATAGAAAAAGACCTTGGAAATTACTCGACCTCATTTAATAGTACAATAAAGTGGGCAGAGGTTAGCTAGCGCTGAAACCATAGTCCGTGGTCCTCAGAGTGCATCGTAGAGCGAACAGTCATTGTTGATACATAGCCTAGCGCAAGTAGTGCTGTTCTTGGATTGCGCGCAGCCATTAGGATTTTTTAGATTTTTGCAATACACTTCGCTGCAGTTTCCGACAGAATCAACTGGATCCCTTGTAAATCCTTCTATCCTCTGGACGAAAACCGTTTGTCGGACTCAACTCGGCTGAGCAAAATTAAAAGTCATTTAAACTGTTTTTTTGCTGTATTCGCCAGTCTTCGCTGGAAAATCTTCAAGGCTTCCCTGGGGTGCCCCCGAAGCTCAAATCTCGCTTGTTTTTTTCACCTTCGTAATAACAATAGTTGCTCCATCTCTGCCACCATCTCCTACCTAGGCAAAGCTTAAGAAAACAAAATCAAGATGAGCGTTTTGATGAAGATACTAATGTTAATTTAACCCGCATTTGTCTTATGCTAGCGAATCTGGGACGGTGTGATCTAAGTGGTTGATGCGCATCCCTTTGGACACATTGTTACGTTAGCTATACACGACAACCTAAGATGAATATGCAGAACCTATGCAATTTTTGTTATGCCAATTAACAGCCCCATAAAGGTCCAGAGATTTTGTGCCGAACATATCATTATATATTCTAACTAATTTAGGAATAATCAAAAGCACTAGAAATTATTACCAGACTTTAGAACTAAATATTTAATGAAGTTTGCATTGTGTGACTCTAATTTTGTCATGCACTTATTATTGGCGGGGCCGGTTATCCATTTCAAGATATGAAAAGCCCGATCATTGTATTTAAGCGAGCGGAGCCCCTTGCTATTAAGACCTGTATCTGCATTATTTCGTTGCACTAGAGAGTTCTAGCTTTGTTCCAAAGAAGATGCTAATACTTTTCAGTTTTATCAAGTTTGAGTCATCATCAAATACAACACGTAACAGGAATCAACTACTCCTTGGCACTAAGTGCGTCAAGAGTTCAAAGCAATGTTCTAACCCCTGTTATGTAGTGCTGCCTGTTTCGAATCCCACAAACTGTATGTTACGTTTCAAATCAGAGTACACCCCGTTCGTACTTCTCGAAGCTCCGACATAAGACCTGTTAATTCTATATGCATTTTTGGAGTATAGAATTTAGCAGAAGGGACTTCTACGAGGATCTTCCAGTTAACATAAAACATCTGTTATTCTTCAGCAGCACGTACCTCTTTCATCGTAACTTTTCGTTCGGTTTGGATCGCTTTATACCACCTTGCCTGTAAATTGTAGACTTGATTGTGTAGACAAGCCTATCCGATTACCTTGCAAACGTTGCCTTGACAAAGGGCAAATCAACTGTTTTAGATGTCGCCCGCCCGCCCGCCCGCCCGCCCGCCATATAACATCTCGACAGCCATATGTATATACACATAAGCGTTTTTCTCATAGCACCCTGTCGACAAATAACTCTTCATTTCAGCTGGCTGTTCCTCTCTACTCGAGTATCGGTCACTGCCTTTTTAGTCGTCCGAACCTCATATACCCATCGCATTTATAACTGACATCTATTTGCTTCCATGGCCCAATGACGCTGAGGCCTCTTTCCTTGCTGGTTTAGTTCACAAATATGACTGTCCGATTCGACTCCGGCAGAGTTAACCCACAATAAGGCTAGTATCCAAATGGACGCAAAAAGCTGCGAGTGCCAACTTCGGATGGCGATACGTTCAAGCCAAATAGCTACATTAGGGTAATCTGAAGGGATGGTAATGCAGGAGCATGATCTTGTGGATCTAATAGTTCATCTAGTCTAGGCTGCGTGTGACAACACACCATTCTAGCTAAGATACGTATTGCTCAGATGATATGAACATTGCTTAAGTTAGGAGTTGTAATAACGGTAAGCGCAGATCGTGCTTTGTAGTATGGCGGACATGCCCTCAATCGAGTTGCTCTGTATTAGTTGCTTAGCTATAGGGTCTCGCTGCAGATTTAGCAACTTGTAGGATCTTGGGCATTGAACCCTCACCTAAGTGGAGGAAGTATTCTGAGTTGCGTGGACGGTGTCCTGGCAGCACAAACGATATGAAATAAATAAGATGTAGAAAATGCCATCTTGTTGCCACATTGCATACAAATATTTAGAAGCTGAAGTAGAATGACATTTCATGATCTTGATAAATTTATGGTAACTGGCACTGAAAGAACTTTTAAATCCTACTCAATATATTGATCTTCGTCAAAAAAACAAAAAGCAGTAAGCAAAAACGATAATTATTGACACATATTTACGGGTTAATTATACAAATAGCACACCATCAGCTAGCCTAACCCAATCATTGAAGGAGCTTTGCGTATTAACATGGTTTTTTGTTGTTTCCATTGGAGTAACAAATTCGGAATATTTTCAGCAAATACAAGCATCTGATATCTTGGCACATATTTATGGGGACCCTGGGTCGCATAAAAAGCTTAATGCATAATACCGTCCCTTGAGGGTATCCACTAGTCGAGGGTCTCGTATTGGACAATGAGCTGTTGACCTTAATAATGAAACCCTTGTACGGACGAAGTCGGAGATTCAGTATATCAGCTTGAAAAATGGGACCATCACTATCAAAGACAGACCCGTCATGTGCAAGGGGAAACTTATCGAACCGAGCGGCAGAGGCAGCTCCAGAATTGTGTCATTTCCACACCGTAATCGTTTAACCTCAGTATAAAGGGTAATAAGTAAAAGCTTGCACTGTATCTATTAAACAAGATCACAAAACACGTTTAGTACGTCAATGTTACTACATAGAAATTTAATTTAGAAACCAACATACTTTTCATCAAACCTTAGTCGCGCGTCAAATATCACTAGTTTCTCACATCCCTCCAATTCGCGCTTTCTGAAAATCTTTTCTTTTTCACGGTACACCTAGACGCGACAGCCCTTTGTATAGTCAATTTTTTTCTCGTGTTTTTCAGTCACAATGAAGCATTACCATAATCGGGTTCTCAGCACAAAATTTAACGTGAGTAGTGCGTGGAAAGTAGGACCAGTTCCTCTGGTAGTTAAAAATATAAAGAGTAATCTAGATTTGGCATGCCAGTAGCTGCTGAACGCAGAAGGATGCACATTTCACACGGATTTCTTACGCTTGCAGTTTTTTCCATTAGCTGGGACAAACTTTTCGCCCTAGTGGTGGGTAGTAGTCTCGGCGCAAACAAGCCCAAGCGACGAGGCTAAGTTTCATGCGAAACAGGTTTATCCCGATTATGTATGCTTAGTAACTGAAAGGATTACTCAATACCTTACATTAGAAAAATGCTCCTCGCTGAGAATATCTGTGTTTTATTGCGAGCGCCGAACTAGTGGCTTTCTCGATCGATATTGTTTGCTTCCCGCACTGCCCTTCTAATTGTTCTAGACGTTCTAATTGTTGAATAGACGAACAAATGGATCCAATCGTCAAAGAAAAAACAGCCACTGAACAGTACTCCGAAACATCACATATAAATCAAAGTTTGGTCACATCTTTCATTGTCAGCTGTATCGTTTAAACAAGTTATCCTTATCCTACACCCTGTACGTACTCCTAGCTGTCTCTAGTATCTACTCAGCAGTGGTTCTAGGTTTTTTTTTCTAGGCGCTTACCGTTTTGGTCTTCCTGTTGCTGCACTCTTCTTTACTCTATTCCACTGCATGTTTCGTTTGCATTTAACGTATTGAACTGTTGGTACGACCACATATATTATCCCATGCTATGCATCTGTGTCTAAACCTATTGTTCCTGGCATTTGTGCTATCCTTGCCTAAACCTACATTCAGCATTCTACAGCAACAATTGATCTTTTTTTTTTGCAGCTGTATCATCAGCTTTTCGCGGGCTTTGCAGCCATAGCAGACGTCGCATTTGAGTGCGAGGGTATTCGTCGTCTGCTACTTATGTCTGTTTATACATACTTGTTGGTCTATTGGTGTATATGCGTGTGTGTCTAAACAGCGATACTGGCTATGTTCGTGGATCTACCTGTCGACAACGGCAGCTTACGTGGCGGCTAATTTGGCGCCTGTCATCCAGTGGAGTAGCGGCGGGTCTATCCTCCCGAACAGAAATAACAGCAGCAGCGGTAACAACATCAGTGGTGAAATCAACGGCGGTTCCTTGGCTGGGGCGCTTTGACTGCTCGTTCCGCTCGACGGTAGTAAGAAACAACGGTGTCTGTAGTGGTGCTAGTCACAAAAACCAACTGGCGCTGCCAGTCGGTGCGGACATCGCTAACGGTGAAGACGGCGGCCCTGAAAGCGGCGACAGCTGTACACATTCCGATCAACATCGTGACAACAACGGAAGCAGTGGCAGAAGTTGTTATTACGGTGCCCTGCTAAAGTTAGGTCGGGGTAACACCGATCTAAAGAAAGCCAAATCAACTTATAGGCAAATTCAGCGAGCGATAGCCAGGCGTATAGACAGATACCCAGACGGCGAACCGTCGCCGAGCTGGCCACGGAGCGGCGAGCGAACGGCCAACGCAGGACAGTTGAACGCACGGCTACAAAGAACCACTGGAGCCAGCAGTAGTAACAGCAATAGCAGCAGCAAAGTACGGAACTCTTGCGTACGTGTCGGTACGAAGAGGTACGTGAGTAAACACCAGGTTTTGAAACGTACGAAGAACTCATTGATTTCATATTACTGCTTTGATAATTATGATGGTCTGTTGGAATAGTTTATCTCTTTGCGTTTTTCTTCCATCATTCTTGCAAGCACCCATACGGTAGTCAAATTTGGCGCGGGCTGTAATGCCCTCAGGATTGAAGTGCCTTCGTTGAGGACCGTTTACCGACTGTCAGACGAAAGCCAAAGCCAGAATTGAATGAAAAAAACAGGGCGAGAGAACCTAACAATACGAGGCAGACCATGTAATTCTAAGCTAAGTTCAGTGTTGTTTATCGTGAAGAGGTATCGTGCCTGCTGACCGATTGAAGGAAGCGATGTATACGTTTGGGTTTTTTTCTTCCGGCATATATACAAAGAACGACGACAGTTCTATTGTCGATGGCTCGGATAAGGCAAGTCGCTCAAACAGGCGATTCGGAACGGCAAGTTGTTTCACATCACTGTGACAGCTAATAGATAACGAACTGTTCATTACTGTTAAAGTCAAAAGTGCCCTGGTATAATGGGGTGGAGCAAAGGCCTAAGCTAGACACCAACGAATATAAAAAAAATCGGGTAGAAGAAAACTAATTCAATGATTGAACTGTAGAATCTGTTGACGGTCGTGTGTTTCAGCAGGTAATACGTGTCCACATCACTGAATAGTGCGTACTGCTTGTTCTGTGCCTTATAATCTGTGGTGAGGCTCGATAACGTCGTAAATTCGATTAGACAGAAGCATAACGGAATGAGCCAACTGAGACAGACCTATGAAGTTTGTGCAATTTCATAAAAAGACAACAGCGAATTAGTTGGTGTCCAAAAATTGAATTTATTCATCGATTCGGTCAGCCCGAATTATTTAGTACGCGATCTGTTTTTGCAGTGACACCGTTTACTCAGCTTTGAGACCGTTCTTAACTAAGTGCTGACAGCTCGTTCGAATCGACGACATTAAGGCTGTATCCCTTCGATCTGCATCTCCCCATCTCATGGGCCGCCATTTACCGAGCCTATATGCCTACCCATTGTATCGCTTGCAGGGGCGGCATTTACCAATTTCACCGAGAACCAACCGACCGACCGATTGGGTGGCGCTCGCTTCTGCCAGCGTGGATTGAATGGTTCAACCACCATAAGCCTTTTGGCTGGATTAGCCAACGGGCCATAGACGAAGGCGACGAAGTGGCTTGTCGAAGTATTGCACTTCCTGCATCAGAGACTGCGTGGGTGTGTGCTCTTGTTATTGATTGGAACAAGTTCAATACATCCGTCCAAGCAGTAACAGAACGGAGGAGAACGACTTTCGTTATCAAAGTAGTTACAAATTATCATTAGGAAGCCCTATTTAAAAAGCGGAAAAAAACAGGATTACTGGTAAAAAAAAAAAGAATGGTTCCGTTGCTTGAGAACGCGGCCGAACGGCAACCCCCAAAATTATTTCATTCTTACGCACTCATATGTAATATGACGTTGCCCGTACGACTTTCTGCTTGTTCAGTGTTAACATTAGACAGGATATAGATCGTATTTTGCTTATCCCAATATACTACTGTTGCCGTCGTGTTCTATCTTATTTCTGATGGGCAAATGATGATAGGGTTTGGTGATACCATTCTAAGAGCTCACAGGTTACTGTTGTATGTGTATGCTGAATCGACCGTATTACTCAAAGGCGTATTCGTGACTCCTTGTCGATTTCTAATAGCCAGTTTTTGGCTATCTGTGGCTGATGCGTGGCCCATAAGCTTCGTTCTCCGGTCAAAATCACCTGCTGGCCGGCACTGTCCAGGCTTCAGACCACATACGGCCGGATAGAAACACAATTCATTGCGGAAACTGCGACCTCCATAGATTTGTGCTTATAGCCACGTTTATTTTTTTCTTCAAAAAAAAAAAAACCGATCCTCGACCTACGTGTTACCTAATATAATTTCATACGTATTATACACAAGAAATGGTATTTGCGTGAAACGTATTCGATGAACTGGTTGTGATATTGGTTGAATTAGTACTCACCTGTTTATCAAAATTTAGCCTAGCGCATTAGTTAAATGTTTTGAGTTTTACACCCAGCACTGCCGTCAGGCATTCATCAATAGCCGATTCCGAGGTCAAAACGAAATATGTTCGTGCTAAAATTCGAACCCAGACCAGCATCCTCAAGTTTAGCAGGCGGACATATTATGCACTACGCCATCGCCGGGAAGCTTATTGGCCGAGATCATGTACCAGCTGAAGGTAGTGATCGAACTATAGTGAGGGTGGTTTTTTCTGAGTAATATTTTAATACTTTGACTCTACGATAACTGTGCATAGAAGTGAGCATACGCAGTATCGGGTTTATCACTTTTGAGGAATCGACTGAAAATGTTGAAGCATCCCTTAGCATATTATGGTAACAGTATTCTATAGGCATTGATCGACACTGGATATATATGAGGGTACGATAGAGCCGAGCTGTAAATATGAGAATCACGATAAAGTTTTTTGCCAGCTAATAAAAATACGTATACTGGCTACCTGAAATAGTTATTCCGGTTAGCTTCTGCAAATTCTATTATTTTATTACAGACTACTTTCATTCATGTCTGGATTGAATTGGATAACTCGTTAACTTACGGGACTAATCGACCAGAAGTAGTGCGATTGGCACCTATTATAACGGGTTAATATCGAATATACTATCTTTGAATATTGAGGAGATACCGAAACTACCCATTGCGTAATAATCCGCAGCAGTTCGCTTATCTTCTTGACTTTCTTTTCCAAGTTAAGTGTGGGGACTAATTAAATATTGTCAATTAGCGGAGTTCTTCAAGTGGCAGAAAATAAGAAGTATAATAGACCAATAATTGCTAGAGTATAAAGTACAAAATAATCAAGATTCGGTAATTAGAGGCGCAACTTGAAACACTATAGTAGTCGCGTAAGTTTGTAAAGTCCACTCACTCAATCAGATATCATCATATATGCAACGTTAAGATGCCCTACGCATGTAATTTCTTTTGGCTGAAACAAAGTCGTAATTTTCGCTACGACGCAACGAAAGAAGTAAATATAAAATTTGGAACAATCTATAGGTATGCGCCAGCGTTCCGCTTAGAAGAAGTTCATCACTTTCGAGCAATTCCGGCAAGAAACCAATAGCGATTTCGTATTTTCTTCGAGGTAGATTGCTAAAGTTCTGTGCTATCGATAAACATTGTTACTGTTTTCCTACTGCACGGATTGGTGAGATAACGCTTCCATTGGTTAATATAGTAATGTATACAACTACGTAGAAAGAACAACTGCGGTCGGGGAAATAACTGCAATACATGTGACAAAAACACGCAGTTACTGATAAAATTATTATGCGTGTATCGCTAGTTCTGTTGTAGCACACGGAAGCAGATCAGTATCGGAAATAGTTAAACGTTAATGAAAATAATGTGAATTCGCTGAAGATACGATCCATTCTTTCTATGTACGTAAACATTAATTTATCGGTAATTTTCGTCACATAGTAACTATTTAAATATCACGTTTATATACAATGTGTAGGTCACGAAACAAACATCGTTTATTATTGGCTGTTACAGGTGCTAGTCCTGATGGGGTGCTTGTTCAATAGATGTTATTTTTAACATGATTATTTAAATATATATATATATTATATAAACCTCAACACTATATAATTGCATTATTTTGTTTGCAGAATCTTGCTGTCAGTATCATGGCGATCAAGGGCAAAAAGAGTTCAACGAAGTCGCCTCCGATCTTTTCGAACGAGTTCATAATTCAAAATCATGCTGACATCGTGTCGTGTGTGGCCATGGTGTTCGTCATTGGCTTTTTCGTTAACGTGAGTAACGGGAGAATAACGGAGCTTTTTGTGGTGGAAAATTGGTATGAACTGTACATAAAATTTGTGTGCCTTGTATAGTGGTTCCTATGTGTGAAGAAACTGTTCTTTTCCATCTTCTTGCACATGCTCTCGAGTATTTACAGTTTAATTTATTAAGGCCAATTAAGAAGGCAATCGTTACTATAATTAATTATTACTATAGTTAATTTATTTAATTTAATTGTACGGAGCTTCCTTTTTGGGACAGGTGACCCAACCTTACGCCGCGCCCTTCGTTACTCTTCAGCATAATATTACCGAATGTAAGTATCAGGAGTCAGATTAGGCATCTGAGATAGCTCAGGTTCACCTAACAAAAACTCAAGCATGGTAACTAGGCTGACATTTTTGTTTTTAATCGTGAGTAGATAAAGCCAGACGCATCTTGTCGACTTGAAGATCGTGGCAGGTTAGTCTGTCATACAGCGAAGTAAAGATTAAGGGTATCAGCGAATGAGCCTTAAGAGAGGATTCACTAATAAGTGGGTAGTGCTCTCTGTCAAACAACATCACCTAGCGGATTTCTGTTTAACTTCTGGCCTACAACTGTATACTTGCTTTGTAGTGTTTGGTCGAAGACAAATGTATTACCGAACTCGTTTAAAAAAAACGACGGCTTAGCACCAGACCGGCTGAGATAGATGTGACTGTCAGCTTCGATACGCCAGAAATAATACGAGATAATGAAGCTCAGATGAAAACGCAGTAATTAATCCCTTTGTTTTATCTTCTGTTAACACAACTTCAGTGCACGCATCCCAGGTTTTCTACTCGTCTGGAATTCGGGATCTTTGTTTAATCTTTTTTACAACCCTGATTATGATTGTATTACATGCAGTTCTGCAGGAGTACGTTTTAGACGTAAGTAGCCAAAAATATAGTAAATAAATATATGCATTTTTAAGGACCTAAATATGAGGATCATTATTATTATATAATTACGCACATTGCATTACTACATGTCACATGTACGGGGATCTTTGAATCATTTTGTTAAGGAAACATTTCTTAACCATGTCAAATTCCCCGATCTCTTCGTTTGGTTTTGTCATTTTCTGTTTTATTCGCCTTTTTTGTCGTATTTTTGTAGAAGCTCAACCGAAAGGTACACTTGTCAAAAGCAAAGCATGCCAAATTTAATGCGTCGGGTCAGCTGGCTACGTTCTACGCTCTATCGACATTGTGGGCTGGAAGCATTCTGAACAACGACGGCCTGCTACCGCTGTCCTCGTTATGGGCTGGATTTCCAGGAGAGCCTCACAACCGCATGCTTTTCACTGAGAAGCTCTTTTTCATTGCACAGATTGCTTATTGGCTGCATATGTACGCGGAGCTGTACTTCGAACGAGTCAAACGGTAAGCATCCAGGTTGCCATGTCAGTTTCATTTGCTGGCCATAAGGTACAGTATAGCATAGGGCTAAAAGAAGTCGACATATGTTTTTGACGTAGAGTGTGAAATAAAAAGCATAAGCTTTTAGTTTTCTCAATCGTAAGTCTGTCTTACACAATTGCGTATTTACTTATTCTCGCCTGTACGTATTTTTTTGGGTTTTCTGAATATACATGACAGAGTATTCGAATCCAGACAACCTTTTCCGGAATATTTATCATAATGGGCATCTGTTCATCGGACTGTCTTTTGTAACAACACTACAAGCTTATCATAGCGAAACATGGCATTCTGAAAGACCCAACAATGTTTTCATGCCAGATAGATCCCCACCTAGATTAATTTCTTTCATTGTAGCTCGAAGTCAACGATCAACGTTATTGCCAGTCCTCTTCAAAAAAAAATAGGAGGAAAATTTTTTTATCAGGAAAACCAGGAGATCCTTCACAGAGTTCAGATTTAAAGGGCTTGAATTCATCAATATGATTTAAAAGACTCTTGTGGCCTGTTGTCACCCCAAATCTATTTCCTAGAATTCTCTTACATGTGCACCTTATTTGAGCAACTCTTCAACGAGGTTACGTATACCAATATCACAGGATTACCTTTTAAAAATCACTTGCAAATCAAAGGCAGTATATTTTGAAGATGAGCAGTGAATCGATCGCAGCGGATGGTGGTTGTATTGAATAGATGCGATCGCCAAGAATGACATTTCTAGCAGTTCGACTGTGTTTTTGCTTAGGTGGTACCTCAGAAACAACTCATAACAACATTAAGCAGTTCAGTATTATTACCTTCGTTAATAGAGTTCTCCAAAATAGACATATCCGTGGTACATTACAGATTTTTTGTCGTCTTCTCATTCATCCTAGGGAGGAGTACGTCGGACGAATCAGTGTTGCGACAGCCCACGTCGTTCTGTTTCTTCTGGCTTATGGACTGAACTTATGGCGAGTCGGCCTTGTTCTCACCTTTGTCCACTACCTTGAGCAAACGTTGTTCCATGTTGCGCGTCTGGCGTACTTCTACGGTCATTCTACCTCGGGAAAACTGTAATTATTGAAAGAGATTTAAACATTGGAAGGATTATGCAGGATTCATAGCGATTTCTACGAATTTATATGCATACATCGATCGCATCGTCGTCCGTATATCTCTCTGCACTAATAGTCGGTCATCATTGATTAATGCTCCTTACTATTAAGCAGTACCCCCTTTCTTCATAGAGCAATATAAAATGAGTAAGCAATGTCGAGTTTCAATTCCGACCTGTGTCTGCTGTGTCAAATGAGTACGTCTAATAGGTCATCTAGTTAATATCTTTTTAGCGGCGTTCTGTCCTTCCTATCTTTGCAGATTCTCTGTATGGAATCTTGTGTTTATCGCCGCACGGCTGGTGATCACTTCGTTATCTTTCCTCGTCTTCAGGTCCGGTCTTCCTGCATCGATGTTCACCCTGCGGGTCGCCGGCCTTTCGTTAATCGGTGCGACCCAACTGTACATGGTGTTCGCCTTTCTTTCCTTCCATATTGGCCGTATTCGCGCTTATAGGGCGGCCACGCAAAAGTTTTCCAAGGGAAAAAATGGCAAGGAAGGAAAAAGTAGGTAGTGAAAAAAATAGCAAGATTTTTAGTCAAAAACGATGCGATAGTTAGTGCAAAGAGAATTGAGCCTCAGATTGCACTTTTTAATTCTTGTTGTTTTTAAGCGATCGTGCACATTAGCATAGAAATAAGTTCTTCCATCTTGATTAAAGAATTAGCAATTTTCGGAGAAATTATACGGCATTATAGCGATATGTAGAATGCGTGGTGATATATAATCTAAAAAAAAATAATTTAAGCGCTTCGTAATCGTAAAGAATGTTAACATGATCATTACGTACGGAATGATGGTTTTTTAATCTAGCTGGTTCGATTTTGTCGGTATCAAAATCGACCGCGGTTATCCTAAAAATTTCTTAAAACTGTTATTCTCTATAAAACATTAGTTTCAATTGTTCTTAGCGTAAATTTTATATATTTAGACGTTTTCATAAATAATTGTTTTTCTATTATGAATAATATGATTAATTATACTATGAATCTATAAAATGTGTCGAGCGTATTCTGCTACTAAGAACCGTTTTCTCTTCATACGACATTCTCACAGTTAAGGGCGCCAAGTCAGCTTCTATTGTTGACAAGTCTCTTCCCGAGGCTGATCAGGGTCAGGGTCCCCCATCGCCCATCGTTGCCAAGGACGATGCTAAATTAGGATCCCTCAAGGACTCCAATGTCAAGAAGAGGCTGAAGGCGCGTGCTTAGGCTAAACACCTGCAGACCAGAGTAGCCTGACGGTGACGCCAAGTGGATACCACTAGTCTCAATATGACCGTCACTGGCCGTCAACTCTCACGATTTATGACTTGTTACACGACTGTATGTCAATCTGTCCTATAGTGTTCAAATATGGATTATTTCTGCTTAAAGGAAACTTGAAGCAAAGGCAGAAACTACGGGTATAATGTGAAATGATTGACCACAGGAATCTTTTAAACGTTAAGACGTAGCACACAATGCATTAATTCGCTGAATCAATCAATGGCAAAGGCCAGAAATGGATTCCAAAGTGGCGCAGACCATTGAGTTTAGATCACAGCTTTGATAGGGAGAAGATAGTTTACATAGATAACTATATGGCTGCCAATAGTTACTTAGATCCTAAAGACAAACGAAATCGTATTGTGACACGCGCATCGAAACGAATACTGAGCGAATAGGGCAGAAAGCACGTTTCTATAGCCAAGAAGTGGTAGCTAATGATCGCTGAATGGCCAATTTGATCAGTACAATCGTGCCGTTTCGATAGTGCATCTTCCACAAAAAAGCTAGAATAAGGGGGCAGATGGCTTCAGTAGTAGGGGTTCGCTCACAATAAGAGATTGTATATAACGCGGTCTATCGATATAGAAACAAAAAAAGTCCAATATTAACGCCGAAAGAAGGTAGATAGACTTGGAGGGTTTCCATGTTGTAGCAAACAAGCATAAATGTGTTAAAGGCGTTATAGAAGTATAGCGACGAAGTGGTCAGTTGCGAAGCGAAATATGGCGGTTTAATCTGTAGCAAATATACGTTGAGATTTATAGGTATAGATTTTTCAAAATGGATGTAGATTTGTCGTAACTGCGAGCTACTACTAAGCTCATTAAAGGATAGAAATCATGGTGTCATATTGACGAATCAGATCGAAGACCTAGATAAATTTTATATATATATATATATATATATATATACCTGGAGTATTTGAGACTGGTGACTTTTCTATTTCTTTACTATTACTCCTTCTGTCGTTGGGTATTGTTCGTTAATTACATCACGTGACTTCGTGATTCTGTTGATCTTCTACTAAATAGTCCAAATTATTTTTGTACGTGAGGTGATATTGAATCGTCGTAAAGACAAGAACGACCATAGCTTTTTGCGAGATTCATTCATCCAAGCGTGTTAATGATATGGTCTGCCCTGGCCATTCCATTACGCTAAATCTTTTTGGATGATTTCGCTGCTCTATGCGAACTATTAGTATCGCGCATTGAGGAAATGTCACACTCACTGACCCGACCGATTAACGCAATGGTGGCCAGGTGTAGGGCGTAAGCGTAAGATATGTGCAAGTACAAGTGTGTGTTTAAATGTAAAAGTCTCTATATATTCGGGTCTGGACATGGGAAACTTGGATGCACATGGCACAGGAAAGCAATGAAATGAAAAACGTTGGCGTTTTGCCTAGAAATGATACGAGCGCAAAGAGGGCAGCAACTATCTTTTTCGGTTTATATAGGGGACTCCACGTAGTTAGGTGGTCTCGTCTCAAAAGCGATATTTTGCGAGGATATGATGCACATGGCAATCAATCTCTAGATAACGACATTAACGCTAACTGATCAATCACTAAGACTTAGCGCATCCTCTCGACAACGAGTAGACTATGATAATCAGCGAATGTGATGAACCTTTTACAATCGATCTACAATATTGGTCTGCAAAAATCTGATAAAGGTATAAATGACGAAACCACCACGATTGTTTGTTTTATAGATTTACCATTGGCCCCCCTGTCGATATTTTCTATCCTTCGGGGTGATCAAAGTAAAACATTTTTTTGCTCTTATTGTATACATAAATACATACATATATAGAAGTATATAATAAATAAGAATAGAAATGATTATGGTAATGTGATCTTGGTAACAGCGCATGTCGTGCAATCTCGGTCCGATGAAAGCAGTAGAAATAGGGGAGTAGAACCAAAACGTTGTGAAAATAAACCATGTCTTAGGCGGGCAGCGCGATAAGAAATGGAACAGATTACTTTTTTATGATTAAAACTAAACCGAACTCTACTTTAATACTGTTATCATTTTTTATATCCATTCGTATTTGAAATTAGTGTTATTTACTCGAATTAGTTATTTGTTCCTGTACATTAACAGGGATAGTGCAAGCGCCAAGTATAGTTTGCCTTCGATGCGGGAACGCTACAGCCATGAGATGGTCGTTGTGGAACTTGTTGTTATAGATGTGAGCACATTAGAAACGTTACGTATATTTTAAAATGTTAAGTAAATGATATGTTATATTACACAGATACACTGACGATATGACAAAAAATACGATTTCATTAGAATATAGAAATACAAGTAAAGTCAATTATACGAAGGCGCACGCGAAATACGCCTCCAAAGTAAATTTTGAGTTACTGTGAGAAATTATTTTTCGACTGACGATCAAGGGTTCCCTTTATGGACATCATGACAAGATTGGCGTTAAGAGAAGGATTAAACCAATCTTGCGAAAGACCTACTGCTTTTCGTTATATTAATTGCTATTGCAGTACAAATGGGCAATATATAACTTTGAATGCTAAAAAAATAGAAATTCGTTCCACAGAACAAATATTATTATAGGAAGTAAAGCGCTAAAATTATCAGCAAATCATTGGCCGTGAATAGTTTCGTGAACGAAGACAAAAGCGGGGAAGTACCTTTCATTTCGTACGTAGTAATAAATCTATTGCTCTAGTATGGATGGGAAACAATTTTTTCGGCAAAAAAAATTACAATGATGGCTGTTTTTAAGACTGGTTTGTGTGGGAACGATGTGGATGAACGAAAGAACGCGCGAAAAAAGATAAAAGAAAAAACATGAAAAATTTAGAGCAATGATTAAAATAAAGTAAATATATTTTTATTACAAATTCATTGTACATGTTTTCGTTATTTGTTCCAGTGAATATGCTGTAATATAATCCTTACTATATATTATTGTTTTTGCAACGACTATCTTGCGTCTTTGTAAGTCTGATTTTTTTCGCTACTGGTAGGTTTTGTCGACGACTTTCTAATAAAAAAACACAAATTCAACTCGCTCAAATGACACATGAAAGCTAAGGCGGTCTTAAATGTGAAAATAAGTTAACAGGATAAACTGTCACATTGGGTTGGTGGTATAGATGAATCTAGCGAACCTCTAAATTGAACACATTTTGAACTGAGCGCCATTAGCAGACAAAGTTTGGCTGATAAGGGCTTCAGCCCTCTAAAAACTTTAAATTTACTTCAATTAATTCAAACATCTCTCAATTTTAAAAGCTTCGGTAGTCAGGTTTTTGTACCTCGAAGGCTAGCGCTGTGGAAATTTATCAAAGATTACTGTTGAAAACCAACGAAAAAGTGACCAGAGGTTGGGATTCGTAGGTCAAGTTTTTTGTTATTATCTTATTGTTATTTTTTTTGTTTTTTAATATATATATAACATAAAAAATAACAATTATACTAGTTGTTACAGTCGAACAAGCTTTTACCGAAGACTGAACTTAAAGCCTAAGGACTTTTTCAACGAAAATTCATTTCACGCGTAAGGTGGTGAAGAATTATAACATACGTACCGAAAATGCAAGAATTGAACAGGAGGTGTACGGTCGTTGCAGATAGGTTTGGTGGCAGCGTTGAGTAGGTTCGAAATTCAGGTAATAGTAGTATTTGTCATGAATATCAAAAAAATGTACTTCTACGAGATGTTCGCTTGAAGAGAAACAATGAATGCAGCTCGTTGTTTCGAATTTTTCCAGAAAGTCATGGATCGTTGGAACGACCACCAAAACCAGTCAGGCTGACAACATCATATTCTATTGCCATGCATCAATCAGTAAAGCAGAGTACCGCGAAAACGTATTAAAAACATAAGAAAAAAAAAAAGATCATTCTTGCTTAGCTTGTTCAAAAATTATAAATTTTTCAGGTCCGATGGATTCGTTATTATTACTTATTATCAATTACCATGATTTATTATAGTATGTTATGTTTCTGCAAAATATTCTCAAACCTGTAAATAAGGTTTTTTTTTTTAGAAATTTCAGTGAAATGCAAAACTGGCCAAAAAATCGTGATTCTTAGTATTGGCGAAAATAAGTCGAGTATGATCAATTGTAAATTTCACTACTTGTTTTTTTTGCAAGGAATAGGTTGTGATTTAATGACGTCTTGTACTGTCACCCGCAGGCTCAAGATTTTTTTGCCAACTATTAAACAAATAAATACACCTATTTACATTCTTGTTAATATGGGCGATTAGCTAAAGCTTCGCATCGATTATATACTTAAATAATTTTTACAAGCGTAATGCCATAAGAAATCACTATTAAACCAGAATCTTACATCCGAATCAATACATTATTTTTGTCATACGAGATATATATATGCAGAGTTTTTGTTATACGAGAAGTGTGTCTGTGCCTGGTTTCGAGCCTAGGTCACCGTCGTGAGTTCAGTAAGCGTATACGTTACCAGTGGACCAACACGGAGTTCTTTACTACCTACTCACTGTAAAACAGTTGATACGTTCTGAAGCATTTAATAAACATTATGCATTCTAATTCGTTTAAGTCACCAAAACAAATTTACTCTAATTTAGCTTTCAGAAGTCGTCAAATCATGGCAGTAATGTCTGTTCGGTGAGAGTCTCAAAGCTAGCTCATAACCACAGAGAACACGTGCATCGAATAGTAACATATGTGCGTGTTTTATTAAACATAGGATATTTTTCGTGCAGCCTCTTTTTGCAAACATCTTCATAAATGGATCAATGCAAGATATATATATATATATATATGATTTTTGTGCCTAATCTGAGAATTTGATGCGATCTGGTGGGGTAGGGTACCGATGATCCACATGAGGTGTCATAAGGTCCGCAGGTCCAAAAGCGGCTAGCAAGACATTCACAATCGTTAAAAGGAATACTGCAACAACGATGATATTGTTAACGAGATCGGCTCGACGCTGCTCCCATGGGCAGTTGAGATTCCACCGGGCAACCGTTACCAAAAGGCCTCCTGTGTTAACATCGAAAATTACACACGATAACCAAATCGTAGTAAGCTTTCCTGAGAACTACAATCCAGTGTCTGATATTTAAAATAATTAGCACGGGTACTTATCGCCTCGAACAGGTTGCCAACTGTAGATACCTTGGACGTCGCTTATTTACACATCGAGATTCAGTAAGTAATATGTTTCATTGCAAGAAATGTAGCATAACCAACCTACAACATTGACTGGTTCTTTACCGTATGTTGAAGTACCTTGCTACATTTAATTCTAGCTTTGAATTTGACGGATTACCAAGGAATTGGAGTTGAATGCCATCATAGTGATGGCTATTTATACCAGATACTTAGCTAAGAAATAATTGCTTAGCATTAACTTTTAGTTAGTACGTAAGGTGTACGTACCCAACACCATCTGCAGAGTCATTGACAAACCAAGGAACGCGAGGCAAGCAGCGGTCCATGGGGGGCGAGGACCAAATTGGGGACTTTGCTGTAGCACTGCCTTCAACTGCGAAGCATTTGCCGCTAACAGAGCGATGTCCATCATACCTGAATATCATATTGTGTCACCATTAATTATTTTCTCTATTAACAAAGCCAAGAAAAAACAGGTAAATAGCCCCGCAACTGCTGTCGTAGTAGTATATACAATTGCTCAAATGATCGTGCATTTGTAGTCTTTGCTCGGATACTTTACCTTGGGCAACAGTCTTCCGGGTGGCGTACATGTTGAGGTCCATAATGAAATTTTTGTTTTTGCTTACTCCACCTCCGTCTTCCCCGTCGACTCCAGTATTTGCTAACGAGTAACTAGATGCTGCTGCATGACATGTTGTGGACTGAGATAAAAAAAAAAACAAGAGAAAAAACCCTTTAGAGTAAGGCATTCTTGTAGATTTGATCATATCAGAAGTACCTGGCTGGTTTCACCAAGCATGCTTTTAATCGAGATTTCTTTTTTGTTTTTATAATATAGTCCGAGTTAGAGGTAAAAATGGTAGCAATAAATTTGGTGTCCTATTCTGCTTTAAAAAAAAGTCTAGCTCCTTTTCTCGGTTCTTTGTAACTAAAGGTGAACTGAAAAAATCTAGGCTTTTTGTCTTCTAGCGCAACCTTCTGCAAGGTAGTGAAATTAACCTACAAGCCATGCTAGCCCAAGTACCAGACGAAAACGAGTTCTTTCAAGCATCTTCTTTGAAATAGCGAACTTATCATGGTGAATAGCAGCCTCAAGATTAAAGCAAACATTGGCTATTATCGAGGTTCTCCACACTGGATGAACCCCCGAACATGACGAAAAGCTTTCTTTTTTGTCCGAAATCTACGCTTTACGTTATCGTCCTTTTCCATGCGGCTTTTAAAGAATTCGAGGAAAAATTTCTGTAGGCAAATCTAAGGTCAATAGGGTTACAGGGCCCGAAACTTCATCAGAAAGGCTGAAAGCGCCATTTTTGTTACACTTAGGCATTAATACATAGCTCAATGGTCATGTTGGAAGAAAATGTCAGTTGCCAATTAAATCGTTCAGCTGCGCTCTAACGGTTAGTTTTTTCAAAACCTTTGCACTATTTATACACTTCGGTCGTTTAGAGTACTTGCATCCAACTATACGTAAAAGTTGTTTTATTGGAGAGGAACAATGACATCTAAGTCTATCTATATCGCATGTCGTGCGATTATAAAGTCATTTGCAAATTGAAAAAGAATATCTTGAAAGTAACTGGTTAATGGTTTAGGCCGCGAATTTAGGTTTAGATCGTGGTTATATTGAATAAACATGAGTTTTAAAACCAGTCTATATAATACGTTTCTTTTTTAACTTATAATAGTATTTACTTGAAAAAATAACAAAAAATACATTTAAAAAAACAATCCCAAAAACTGATCCGATCTTATGAGTTCTATAAGTAAGTAAACTTGATCTTTTTTTTTTTTATATACAGGCACATAAAATCATATTTGATCATATGCCATATGTGCCTGATTGCCACTTGTAACTAAAGATGTCGCTCAGGTATGTGTTGAAGTTTCATTAGAAAAATTGCCTTTATCTGTAGATAGTGCCCCTGCCTAAATGACGGGTAGGCCTAAACGACCTATAGGAAGTGCTGCATTTTTCTTTATAGAAAAAAATTATATTCCTTATGATTTGGAGCTCACAACCAAAATCGTTTCACTTTTCATACCATTGGAATAGCCGGTTCCGTAAAACTGGTCTCCTTATATTCACGTCGAAGTTCAGGGCTTCTCTGCTCTTGTTGCCTGTGACTGTAGTACCTTGAATGATTAGTTCTTAGACGGTCAGATTCATTAACGTCGTTTGACTGTGGGATCGATGCTAATGGCAGCTGGGAACACATCACCCTTTCAATGGACTCCATTCCAAGCAGATGCACATGACTCCTAATGAGTTCGTCGCTCTCTAGGCCGGTGCCACGACTCCCAGCACCAAATCCCTCCACGTTTCCACCAATAAAAGTGGACGACGGCCCTCGGATATCCACAGCTGCTGCACTCAGCGTGGCAGATATATAAGAAAAAAACCCCTTTCAGGCAAAACGGCGTTAAAACGCCTCCTTTCGTTTGCTATGGCAGAGCCACTATTCTGCTAGTAAGGGATTCATAGTTGAGGTTCGACTTACCCAAGACCATACAGCCGGTATGTTTAAAGCTTATTTGGTATAGGCGAATCACAAACTTCTCCTAGTATAGGTATTGTACTTATTGAAATGGCCTCAGGTAGATTGTGAACAATAGTCAAAATTCTATAAGAGAAAAATTAACTCCGATGTGTGCTAAAACCGATCCATTCCGAGCTTCCAGTCTGTATCCCGCATTCGCTCATACGTCAAATTATTAGCACAGGTTTAGCTGACCGCATAATCCTATCTGGCTTAAATAGGTTAATAGGTCTTCGTTATCCGAACTCTCAGTGGTACAAGATCGCCTCCTATAACATTATCGTTCTTCGCTTGATTTTTACAAGACATCCTTGAAGACACAATAACCAACTGGTTACACTGAACGCAAATTTTTTAAGAGCAGCCTGGCTCCCATGAACTCCTTAAAGTTGCAAGTTCTTTACCTCTGAACAGGATAAACAGTGAAAAATTATCGTCGTAGTTAGGTCGTTCTAAAACTCGTTCACGAGCAGTTTCCAATCACCGCGCCATTTTTAAGAAAAAAACAACATCGAAGAACCAGGATTTCGCCCAGCCAGTTGCCAACTGCTAGATAGACAACGACGTTTCGTGTTAGTTTGCGTTGATCGCGCGAGATGCTGATAGATAATTTACTAGTAATTGTCGAAACGAGCGCCTATTATATAAAACAATATCAGTAAAGACAGCAAAAGTCGCAGCAGCAGCACGTGAGGTGCACCTGCCGTCAAAGGCGACACGGCCAAGAAGGCTTTCATACATAGAAACGTGTCCGCCAAGTCAAATCGGCCCAAAAGGTGTGAGGGCTAGGGATGATGACGAACATAAGAAAAAATTACCCTTCGACTGATTTCGTTGGCTTCAACGATAGCTTACTGTAGCGTTTGACGCATTCGTAGCTATAGTGTATTTCTACCAAGGCACGTAAATGGCTCCAATGAAGACACGGTCATAGGTCGATAATTGTTACGTGATGAGTCGATTAATGTGAACTACTGCTGTCACTATCATAATGGCCCTTCTTTTATAGGAATATTTCGGACTGAAGAAGCACATATATAGGCGATCGTATTAACATATTGAAGAAAACATCACTGGTCATCATTGTTGTTACGACGAATAGACCTGTTTATTAACACTCTTCGAAACCAAGCTGGCCTATGTGAAACTGTATCGATGCTAGTAGAGTAATTTCTGCTGCTTCACGATGGGTGACCTCGGAGAGGGGTGGCATACTGGACGATGTCTATTATTACTGAACGTTGATATCAAAAATAAAAAAAAGTCTTCCAGCAGTCAGCCAATGCACGACAGTAATAATAAAAGCAATGGCCTGTTTGCCTCCTTATAATAGATCGGGGGCGAAGACACAAGCCACCTGGACAGGAGATAAAGGTCTAATCGCTCCTTCGGAGTAAAGCGCTCCGCGAATGCTTTTTACTTTTATGATTGTAATACCCCTTCTTTACTTTCCGTCAGTACTAAGTCTTCATTTGTCCGTGCTGTGTCCGCTATGGCTCTCGCCTTCACCTGGTAAATGGAGTCACGAAGAATCACACGTTTTCACTCGACCCCATATTAATGGCAAGTTTACAGACTATATACTTGCTAACTATACGCTCCAGGCAATCAGACGAGGCGAATGATGTACACCGTCCCTCTCTGTCAGGGAGCCACTGTCTCAAGGACCCCAACAAGACAACGAATTAATTGGAGATGACCTCTCACTTCATTTTAGGAAAATGTGCCCTTATATTCTTTAATAGTACAATAACGGATGCTATAGCATAGTTCAGTAAGTAACAGAAAATTTAATACAGGATACAGGATCAGCTGAGCACATAACGGCTGGACAATAAACGCTGGCCTGAAGGTCACTGTCTCCGCCCATATACAAGCAGTTAGCACAGAAGGTGATAGAAAACATTCTATTTAAATGTACACTATCTGCTAAGAAAAATGTTGAAATTAATGCATGTTATATGTAATAAACGGAGGTCATGCGTAAAAGAGAGTGCTGTCATCGCTTAACGAACAGGCCGTGTGTTTGTCAGTTTTGTTTGATATCCCCTTAGACGGAGGCGTTGAATTCAGCTACGGGGCTAGCGAACGCAATCGGCCTTTGCAAACCCTTGGAAACGAATAAGGCTAGTATCAGAGTGGATACAAAGAACAATACGAAGAGCTCAACTCACCTGCAGCGTACCGCTTAAAGCTTCAGTAGCTTCACCTAGACAAGAGTGCATAACAATAATGCCCGACCTTTCGCTTGAAAAGAAGACAGATCCAGTAACGAGAGGGTCCGCTTGCTATGGCGACTTAAAACGGCGTTCCCCGGTGATGGCTTTTACCGTTCTTTCTCAGACTCAACGAACACTCCAGCTACAATCAACAGCTGCGGATGCAACTAACAGCGCGAATCGGTTTGAGCCGTTCCATGTGACAGCAGTGACAGCCTTCAATAGCCTTTCGAGAGCTGCTAGGTGTATCCAGCAGTCCAACAAAGCGTGTGAACTGGCACTTTCGCAAGTGATCGGTCAACGGGTGAAGTTGCCCAGTTGAGGATCGGCACGTTTCGGTATCGTAAAGCCGCTCTGTATTCAATTACCATCAGCAGACCTCGAGCGTTTAGAAATAAGTAAGGGATGTCCTCTTATTTTTTCAATAGTTTTCAGATCGACAAAATGGTTTGAGACTATTTGTCATTTTTGAAGACGAATTCAGTACAACAATGGGCGGATGCAAAATCTCTTGAGATTCACTGCTTTACTCGAATTTCTCGGCTGCTGTCAACAATGAAAGAGACTTCCGATTTCAGTATGTCTGCCAAGAATCCTTCTTGCGATATTGACTATCCGCTTCGGCCTGGCTTAGTTATCTTCCGCTATTTGATCAATGCCTCGACAAATATAATACCATTGAGCGCACCGCTGGTCATCTGCCCACACTTGGGTGAGGGTAAGCTGAAGTCCATATCTCATCCATGTTCCCATAGCATGCGCAGGCCGTCTGACTGTTGCAGGATGACGTCGTTGCAGCAAGGTAGTGACAGTTGTCCGTTTTCCGCTATGAGACGCGCGGCCCGCTACAAAGGAAACGCGGTCGTGGGACAATGTACACCGCTTACGTACTCGTCTAACTACGGAAAAAACGCTATTGGAGCTATCCATCTTTGTCCGGCGTACGTATCTGCTGGGTTAATAAGTGATTGGTTGATTGGTCATTCTACTGGCGGGTCCGCGTGATATTAAATGGGCACAGTATGGGGAATGCTACGATTGACATCACACCATGAGAAAGAACGCAAAGAAATTTAGGTATATTGATTAAGAGTCAAATCAGTAAACCGACTAGGTAAATGTTATAATTAGTTCGCGCTAGTGTAAACGATGTAGAGATAATCAAGTAATAACAATAACTTATTGAGTTATTATGGACGGGTCTAATCGGTTAAACGATGTACGTCGCAGTAATGGCGTAAACTCGAGGGACACCGGATGGCCTGGGTCTAAATATGAGCGCAGATACTTCGTGATGGAAAGCCTATTAGCGGACGTATATGACATTAGGAAGTATAAGAATAGGGAACAAGGTTAACTGCATTATTAGACACGGCAAGCTAGGCTAGCCGCGGACCGCTGAGTGTGGTTTTAATAAAAACTGCTTTTATAGACTTTTTGTTAAAAATCATGTTGCTTCGAGCGCAGTTCAGGCAATAAAAATCGCACAGTTTTTAGCACAGGGATCTCAATGAATAGATTTTTACTGTTCAACTACGCATGCCATTTATTCAGTTTTTTCATTAT